CTGATCCCTGACCTCTGCTGTCTGATCTCTGACCTCTGCTGTCTGATCTCTGCTGTCTGACCTCTGCTGTCTGATCTCTGACCTCTGCTGTCAGATCCCTGACCTCTGCTGTCTGATCCCTGACCTCTGCTGTCTGATCTCTGACCTCTGCTGTCAGATCCCTGACCTCTGCTGTCTGATCCCTGACCTCTGCTGTCTGATCTCTGCTGTCTGATCTCTGACCTCTGCTGTCAGATCCCTGACCTCTGCTGTCTGATCCCTGACCTCTGCTGTCTGATCTCTGACCTCTGCTGTCTGATCCCTGACCTCTGCTGTCTGATCTCTGACCTCTGCTGTCTGATCTCTGACCTCTGCAGTCTGATCTCTGACCTCTGCAGTCTGATCTCTGACCACTGCTGTCTGATCTCTGCTGTCTGACCTCTGCTGTCTGATCCCTGACCTCTGCTGTCTGATCCATGACCTCTGCTGTCTGATCTCTGACCTCTGCTGTCTGATCTCTGACCTCTGCTGTCTGATCTCTGACCTCTGCTTTCTGATCTCTGCAGTCTGACCTCTGATTTCTGCTGCTTGACCTCTGCTGTCTATTCACTGATCCCTGACCTCAGCTGTCTTATCTTTCCTGTCTGGCCTCTGATCTTCTCTGTTGTCTGATCTGTTCTCCTGTGTCTGTCCTCTGCTCTCTAATCCCTCTGTCTGCTCTCAGGCCTCCTCTGTCTGATCTGATCTTCTCTGTCTGATCTGATCTCCTTTGTCTGATCTGATCTCCTCTGTTTGATCTCTGACCTCTTCTGTCTGATCTCTGATCTCCTCTGTCTGCTCTGATCTCCTCGGTCTGCTCTCCTCTGTCTGATCTGATCTCCTTTGTTTGATCTGATCCCCTCTGTCTGATCTCTGATCTCCTTTGTCAGATCTCTGACCTCTTCTGTTTGAGCTCTGCTCTCCTCTATCTGATCTGATCTCCTCTGTCTGCTCTCCTCTGTCTGATCTGATCTCCTCTGTC